AATAGTAGATATGAGTTGGGCAAAAAAAGAAAGAAATTTTTTGTCTTATAATATAATTTCTCAGATTGACTAAAAGATAATAGGGACCTTAATGTGTTCTTTTGGTTTTCAGTATACCAAGAGTATTGGTGAACATGATTTGGTTAAAATTTTAGATTTGAGGAGTTTTTGTATAATGTTTTCAATGTTTCTTGGATTGTAGAGCAGAATTGGCAAAGTTTCTGTACAAAACAGGTTAAAAAATTAGCATTTTTACAAGTAAAAAAAAAGTCATACGTTGGCAATGAGGAGATGTAGGAGGTGACTCTTCTAACATTCAGTACTTAGGAATAAAAATATTAGCAGACATTTCCATTTACTTAATTCAAAAAAAAACAAAACATTTTGATGTTGATCATTCTAGTTCCTGTTTGTTTTTAACTCTTCTCTCTGGGTCCAGTCTTGTCTATCAGTTCTTGTTAACTACACTTATGACCTATTTCCTTGTTAAATTATGTCAGAGAATGACTATAGCTTCCTTAAGATGCCCTTCAGATCTTTTTTTTTGTCATTATTGACCCAGCCACTAGCTTTATGGTCACTCTGGTATAAGGTAGTCCCCTCTACCTTACCCTTTCCTTTACCGTGGCCAGATCCAAGTAATGCTACTCTTCCTGCAATATTTTTGGAAGCTTTCTTATCCACATACCAAGAGTTTTATTCTCTTTTCTTCTTCATCATAGCAGGCTTATTTTCTTTTATCACACTGACACCCACATCAACTTTTCTCCTCCTCACTTTTACCACAGCTGCAAAGATCAAATGAATCTTCTCCATGGTAAATTGTTCAATTGCAGCTAGTTCAATCTTCTCCTCTTTATCTAAAAGCTCTTTTAGAGGTCTCTTGCTCCTTTTTACACCTGGTCATGTTTCTTTTCCCATTGTCCCCTCAAATTTTCTGCCCTAGAAATGTCTCCTGCCTTTGTCCATCCCTTCACTGTTCCTTAACTATGGCAGTCTGCTATTTTTTAACTTTTCACAGCTGTCTTCTCTGTGATAGTTTCCAAAGAGCTGTCTTTCCAGATATATGCACAGTGCCTCTAAAATATCTAGTTGTTTGGATTCATTTATATGCTCTCCTTTTATCATTAGCCAAATAGTTAAGAGCAGATAAAGGAACAGTCAGCACAAAGGAAGAGTATGCATTTTATTAAAAATGCTTATTTTAAGTATAAGCATATAATAAAGTTATGATCTCAAGTATATATGTATGACATATATAAGGCACATAAATGTATAAATATAACTATGACAATAATGCATCCTTGTTTTGCAGCCTTATCTTCCTTTCACATGTTATTAATCATCTTAAATGGTTACAGTTTTGGGAAAGCATCTCTAAGGACCGTGCATACTATAATGCTTGGGAACTATGACTATATGTATAAAACTATGGCTATTATTCTAAGATAAGTTCTCTGGCAGATGTTCTTTTGCTTCAAATTTTTTAACAGGAAAGGGTGATATCCCCAAGTAAATCTATTATTATTACCCAAGTAAATGTAATAATTTGATCACAAATTTTCTTTCAAAAGATCTTTTTTCTTCCTTCTACAAAAAAAAATCCCTTAAATTATTACACAACACTTTTCAACTCAGTGAGGGGAAACCCAGAATAATCTTTTGTAGATGAAATAAAAACCTGAAAACACTTTGTTATGAAAAACATAGTTCACTAAAAAGTAAAATATGACCAATATAATGCTTGTTCTTGATATGAGAAAACACACTCAGGAACACTTTGTGGAAATAGCATCAATGATACAGCTTTTGGTTGTAGAGAACAAAATAATGAGGCAGGAGAACAATCTTTTAGAACAGTTTGGTATATTTTGTACTTGTATCAGGCATTTATCCATATGGTTTAATAGCAACGCTTACAGTAACTTTCATGATTTCTTAAATCTCAGCACCTAACAGTGGTTTCAGTTTCTTAATGCTCTCATTAGTAGCTCTGTGTAGGTTTGCCTGTGTTTGTCAAAATAATCTACCTTCTTATAGCAGGATCCTGGCTTATAAGGAAATTAAATGTACTACAAATGTAGCATAAATGTAGTACAAATATACTTTCAAATGTACTACATTGAGGCTAATTACTAGCATGGAGTCTTGGTAATTGGCTGTGCTGTTGTTGGAGGGTACTGTTGATCTAAGTTATCTAATGCCTGATGACCAAAATCATTTTAAATTGGCACCAGAAGTTAGGTGGACAAGCCTCTATACAGGCTCTAAAATGGTAAAACACTAAATGCTACATACTCAGCCAAATCAAGTACTTTTCTCTCTATATCTCTTTGGGTACATTGACACTGTGATAAATAGGAAAGCCCCCTTCTTTCTGTAGAAATTTATTTTTGGTCCCCACTTCAGTATTTTCATGGAAGTTCGCAAGGCTTTAAATTCAATTAACTGGCAAAGGAAAATATTTGATATCAAGAGCTATATATCTTCTTTTATTTTTTCAGCACATCTGTCTTTTTGACATTGTATGGTCTGTGGCTGGTTCCCTTGACATGTACGGAAAACCCATAACCACAAAGGGCATTTCTCCAGTTTCTTGTTCAGTGAAACAACCATGAAAAAAATCTTGAAAGCACTTTCTGCGTGAATTGGATCTGAATGCTTGAAAATATTGAAAAAAAAAAAACAAAAGAAAAAAAAAAAAAAAAAAAAAAAAGCTCTGTGGACATGTACAAGGAAGCACTTTAGGAGAAAGAAAAAAAAGAGTTTTCATTGAATGTATTCCAAAACAATAGAAGGTCTTCTACTATGAGTATACAATCTAATGTATACTCATGTCACCTTTTCAAAAGTAAAACAAAGCCAGTGTTTTTTCTTATGGTTTCAGTCTGGCTTTTACACATGACTGAATCTAACCTAGAGAAGGTTGCAGTAAATGGCTTTTTTGTGATACTTATTAGTATTACTTTAATACTTATTAGTATTATACTTTACTTAGTAAAGGCAGGACAGCAGTGCAACAGTAAGTGGCAAGTTAGTTCTTAAATTTGCATACAAAATAAGAAGTAATCCATCTCTCATAAAATAAGTAATCCATCTCTCATAAGAACAAAACATTGTAAAAAAATGCTTTTTTACTTACTAAAAGCTGACAGCATCCTGTTGTACGAACAAGACTAACTCTGCTCTTTATCATGTGCTGAGGGCAGGTATTGACATGAGTAATCATTACCTCACTAACACAGAAAGCACTGCTACTGCAGGAGCACTTTGATTTGGAAATGAACAACAGAATTTAAACATATGTTGTGACAAAAGCAGCAAATCTACTTCTCCCCAGATATCACCAAATTACTGTAGATATGATGGATTTGAACAGATGTTCTGCAGCCAGATAAGTTTCTGAACCCTTCATGGCCCAGTAGCGTAGACTATATGAAGGATTTCTGTAGATGTCTTCCAAATAGTACTAAAGTTTGATAGGAAGTCAAGTGATAGCACTATTTGTCCACAGGTTTATTTATTTATTTATTTTTTAATCCAATGATGAATAGCCCCGAAGCTTTTGTGATGCTTGTGGAAATTATTTAAGTAGTATCCCCACTGAATGGGGATATCCATTATATCCATTGTCTGTGATGTGTTAAAGAAAGAGCAAAAAAATAAAAGAGGTGCTTAGGTGCATGTTAAAAATCTTAGATGCGTGGGAAGAACTACAGTTACTGAAATAATGTAGGACTTCACATGTTCTTACAAATTCATGACTACCAAGACATGCTGGAATTTGCCTTACCATAAAAAAAAGCTATCAATTAATTGCCAATGGTGTATTCTGGCCTGCCAGCTAATAAGCCATTTATGTGTTTGAGCAAGTATTTATTGTGTTCTTAGAAATATAGAGATTGACAGACAAAAACATAGTGGGATAATAACTGTGAACTGCATGAGAAAAAGGACTTGGTGAAGTATGGAGTTTTATTAGTAGCTCACTGATTAAATCCCCATTAGATCCTTTGCTATGTCTGTTTTAGTAGCGGCTATTTATCTTGCACAAAATATCTCTTGTTTTGCAGCAGTCTAGTTGCTATGAGTAAGAAAATCCTACCAAGATATAACTATCTGCTTTTGATTTTTTTAATGTTAACGAGCAAAAGAGATTTCCCTATTTGCAAAACTGATTTTCTTGGCAAACACAATTGGTTGTTAAAATATGTGCAGAATAATTCTTCTCTTTGTGATTATTCACCCTGAAAGAAACTTGGATTGTGACTCTGTGTTTTCCAGACCAGTGTAATCTCCATATCTTAGGCAGTTACAGCAGAATTGTTGCTAGAATAGACATGGCATTTCTGTTTGCTGAGGATTTGTTCCAGCTTCTCTTCTCTTCTCTTTTCTCTTCTCTCTTCTCTTCTCTCTTCTCTCTTCTCTCTTCTCTCTTCTCTCTTCTCTCTTCTCTCTTCTCTCTTCTCTCTTCTCTCTTCTCTCTTCTCTCTTCTCTCTCCTCTCCTCTCCTCTCCTCTCCTCTCCTCTCCTCTCCTCTCCTCTCCTCCTCTCCTCCTCCTCTCCTTCTCTTCTTTTTCTTTTGATTAATAAAATGGTTTTAAAAGCCCTTATGTCTTTATCTTCAGCATCTGTACCATTGCAATATCTCTGCGTCTGACAAAGTAGCCTGAAAAAAATAGCCTTGGACCTTGAGGAATTTGGAAGAAAAATGCAAATACAAAACAGATAAAATTACCATATTTGTTCCTTCCATTTTCTTTTCATCCGTTTGAGAAAGTGTGTATCTTATTTTAAAGACTGTGTTAAAACTAATTTCAAAGTATTCCCCTGTAATGTATCTATCTGTGTAGTAAAATGACTAACATTGCAATAATTCTTGATCATCCCAAGGTATAAATATAAAGTTTTTACTTAAAGTGTTAAAGTATAAATAACTATTTACATTGGATTGGGCAACAGAAGAGGCACTGATTGACATGCATCTCGTGATTTTTCAGATGAGGATAGGCATTCACTCAGGATCAGTTCTGGCTGGTGTTGTTGGTGTAAGAATGCCACGTTATTGTCTCTTTGGAAACAACGTCACTCTTGCAAGCAAGTTCGAGTCAGGAAGTCACCCACGTCGCATCAACGTCAGTCCAACCACATACCAGTAAGTTCTGTCAGCCTTTACGTTCTGTTTTTATTGCAGCATGTTTAAAGTAACATGCTCTGTTCTTCGCCTGTGAACATCAGCAGAAGGATACCAGGGCATCAGGACAACTGGGAAGAACTACTGCCTAGGTCTCATAGTTCTGCATCAAAGAGTACAAAGAAGTCAGTGAAGATAAGGAATTACTACCACAGAGCCAATTTTTCCTGCCTAAGATTGCACATAACAGAAATGGGAAATGCCCACCATACCCATCATTTCATGCACTATTGCAGATTTAGGGTGAGGATTCTGCTTCCATCCACTAGATAAAACTGGTGAAGGAAGTACGTTTCCGTTGGCTCTGGATAAAGTCGTTAACTTTCACAGTGAAGCCAAGTTTTCAAAGAGTATTCTTGGGGGCAAAATTTCTTGTTTAGCTCTGTCTTCATATAAACTTCATCCAAATATTTACTTAAGAAAAAGATTGAAAAGACAAAGTATTATCAGCAGTTCTTATTATGCAAATGGAGAGTAGGCTTGATTAAATAATGTTAGGAGTAACAGCTCTTAAAAAAGAAAAGTATTTCTTACTGTTCAAGTTTGAGAGCTTGATTATAAGGATCTCTGTTGCTTGGATTAGTATAGATATAATCACTTTTCTGTCAGGAGATGTATATATCACTCTTTTTCCTACATTATGTTTATGAAATCATTTTCTGACGCATAGTTTTGTTCAAGTTTGAGGACTGCTTGAGTGGGGTTGCATGAGCAGGGTATTGGATGATCTCCTACTTCAGCTATTCTGCAATTCTGCGACTGTTTACTGCAGTAAATATATAAACCATTGCTTCAACAGTACTGCTTTTCTTTCTTTTTTTCCTTATATAGACCAGTGAATTTCCATATTTATTTTTTCATGTATCTATCTATGTAAATGAAAGTTTTAAATGGAATTTCTTCATCCAAGACTTGAAGCTTCTGATATGCTACAATATAAAGCAGTCAGAAATGGAAGCTAAAAAAGTAATTAAAGCTAAAATGACGTTCATATCAAGACCCTATTCACTCCAGATGAGATTTACAGAATGGAACAAGTGTAGTTACTCGAACAAAAGACAGAAAAACAGAACAGACTTTTGATCATAAAGTGAGCAGAATCAAGTTCATATTGTTGTGTCATAACAAGCAAGAGACATACAGACCCACACTATTCTCAGGTATAGAAAATCTGCTCGATTAAATGAAAGTAATATAAAAATATATAGGAAATTGCTACTTGGAAATTGATGTCACTTAAAAAGAAATTACTTATGAATGCAGGCTATGAGAACTGCTTTAAAACAATGTTTCAAAAGGGTGCACAAAGTCTTATATCCCAGTGTTGAAGACTTAAGTGGTAGCAGTACCTTAACTTTAAATATTATACAAGTGGAGGAGAGGGATTCTGACAAAAAGAGACCAAGGTCCTGTAACAGGGACCTGAACATTTCTGGCACAAGAATGTTTCAGAGATGTTCTCCAGTCTGAGAAGGTCTTTGAGATGTTCTGGAAGTTTGGTCCATATTTTTTATGGAGAGATATTGGTGCTTCACAAATCTGTTTCCAAGGTATAATTCCATTCAAGGCAATGCTGATGCTCAAGTTTGTTACACTGACAGCAGAAGTTGGACAGCTGGACACTTTCACACTATTTTAAGAAATGTACAGCTGGATATACAGTATTTGTGCAAGTGGTGATATACAAGTCTACTTATTTAGACTGTTCT